AAGTGTAGGCAGGGAGGTATGGCAGCTCCATAGTTCCCTATGGAGTACCCCTCCACACACATAAGGAACTACCAGGCTGGTATCCGTTTTAAGGCCTGGCAGCCATTTCGTCACAAGCCGCACCAAAAAAGAACCACCTACCTAGGTGGTTCATCCGGAAAGGCAAGTGCGGCCGTGGGATCGCCGACACATCTTTCTGCCGGTGCATCCCCGGGCCCTGGCCGAACTGCGCATGTGTGAGCATGAGCAGTTCGCCAGCCTCCCCCTCCCACCGTTGCTTTCTCCCCGGCATCTGATCGTGCTGGGGAGCAACGGCGCCGCGGCTCAGGGGATCCATGGGATCCCGCCGCGGCGTCTCTAGTTTGGTGCGGCTTTTAAAAGCCGCACTTTGGCCCGTTTTTTCCCTGCCGTGTGGCAGGGACCTAGGTTGACCATTGCTTTGATACAGCATGGCTACTCTCATGTTCTAAGTGTTGGGACACGTGCATACTAAAACAGTGTGATCTCACAAGACATACGAACCAGCTGCACAGTTGCACATAATATCTTCCTAGTTTTCATCATTTTTGGCATGTTTGAATTGAATGGAGGGATCCGCCTGCAATTATTGGTAAACCATTCTGTGAAAATCTTGATGTGGTATGGTCTGTAGGAAGGGTACTGGTTTTGGTGATCCAGATCCTTCTTTAGTTTAGCAGAGTGCACTTGGCTTAACACAGCAGTGCCTTGTCCCGAATCTACCATGCGCTTGCAAGACTACAAAGTTACACAGAGCCACGTTTCAGTTTGAAACAAAATAATCTACTTTATTCTAGAAATACATGCTTGATAGTGCAGGGCAGAGATATAGAGACAGTGCCTATCAATGTTCCCTCTAAGCCGTGGAGTCTTGTGAGCAAAAATTCCACTTTGTGAGCGACTGGCATCAAAGTTGTGAGCGAGCGACTACTGCATAAATTAGGTTACTCTGGAGCCCTCCTTCATGAGCTAAGACAAAAATGTGTGAGCCGGAGGCTAAAAAACTGTGAGCTAGCTCACACTAACTCAGCTTAGAGGGAACACTGCCTATGCTATCTAACTAGGAGATGGAAGTGGATGTTGAGAGGCATCTTTCTTCTCCATCTTGTGTGCATGGAAGAGAGAGAAGAGAGAAGAGGAGATGGAAGGAAGTTGCTTTTCCCTAAAGAGTGTTAATCTACACTTTAAATGGATTCAGTGACAGCAGAGTTAACAGGAAGATGCTTAGTGTCTGCCTATCTGCCTGCAACTCTGTGGTCACTTGCTTCTGGAAGCTGAGACACTGAGACGTTTCTGCACAAACAGGTCTCCCCGCTCCTGCATTTGTATTCCTCCACCTCTTTCACTTGTTTCCTCAGAGGTATTTGCAGTCTGAGGTGCAAAAACACAGTTTGTCCTCTCTTGTGACGCAGCATCAGACTTCCCTGCTTCTGGGAATTCCCTTGCTGTGCCACAAGAGGAAGCAAACTGAGGAAAGAGGTGGGGGAATACAAATGCAGGAGCGAGGAGACCCTTTTGTGTAGAAAACGTTTGGGACATAGCATCTGGTACTTCTAGCATGGTTTACACTAGGCTCTGTATAACAGAAAGCATGACAAACCATTTGGCTTCCCAAGAATGCTCTTCCATTCTGCTTTACCTGATGTTGCTACTTTTTTTGTTTCCAGTGTCTCACTGTTCCAAAGCTCTTTGCCAGTAAGCTCCTTACCTTCTGCTTGCTGGTCAGTGTTTGCTGTGTTTTTCTGATCAGTATACAGATCAGAATTAATAAATTATCCTCCCTACCTTCTTGGGAGAGGATTGTTCAGTGTTCCCCATTCGTTTGAAACTTGCTGAGGTTACTTTACAGAACCATCAGCCTAGACGCCATTGCATTTTCTGTTGGCCACCCAAAGACACACTTCAGTTAATGGAGGTACCTGGTTTACAGCTGAGCAGAGGTCCTTGAATTAGTTCAACTGTATTGGTGTGACTCCTGTTGAAATAACTGTTCCACTCTGTGATGTTGTCAAAAAGGGCCCAGGCTTTTACTGGTTGAAATCTATGCCCTCCTCAGTTATGGTCAAGTTAATTGGGATTGATGGGGGATGATGATGTGTTGCTTCCTTTTTATTCTTTTGATCTATTTTAGTTCAAGCGATTTGTTTTATTTCAATTTAGATTTCTGACATCCATGTTACTGGGGAGTCAGAGGATATGTCTGCAAAAGAGAGATTGCTCCTGTGGACACAGCAGACAACGGAGGGTTATTCTGGAATTCGTTGTGAAAATTTCACTACCTGCTGGCGAGATGGGAAATTATTTAATGCCATCATTCATAAATACAGGTAATTCACATGCTTGTTTGGATTTTGCTAAGAGTATATATAGGAATGTTTAATTTTTTTGTTTAAACAAATGTACTGAGAGCTATATGCATTATAGTTCCAAGGCCTGTGATGCCTGCTTATTGGGGGTCTGCATTTTTGACTACTTACTGTACATCTGACTGGAAAATCCTTTCCCTTCTGAATTTGTGGTAATCAGTTTCTTTTGTTGTGTGTATAAGTTTATATGTATCCCTTTATTCTACCCTTCTTTTGTTTCACAGTCATTGCCGAAATATGCTTCATAGTGTAGCATATACTTCATATGTAGCTTTACTGCAAGAGTGCAGAAAAATTATATAATATGGAATAGTAGACATAGGGAGCAATCCGAAGAAAGGCTCCTCAGACGTTGATCCCAAGAGAGTGTTATTTATTATTTTTCTTAATGTATAGCCTGCCTTTCTCACTGAGTTACAAGGTAGATTATAAAATATAAAAAAACAGTTCAATCAGACACCATAAAACAACCAATAAAAATGCAATAGGATTAGGATTACAGAATTAGAAAACAATACAAACCCTAGAACTGTCTATCATGGCATACCCTAGTGCAGAAAGTGGGTGACAAAGGCAATGCAGTAAAAGCAAAGTGATAGCTGCAATAAACATTGCAGTAGATTACAATCCATAGTCATCTTCCTGAGAATTTCATCTTTCTTTCTTTCTTTCTTTCTTTCTTTCTTTCTTTCTTTCTTTCTTTCTTTCTTTCTTTCTTTCTTCTCACAAGTTTCTTGCTTTTATGACTGTGAAACATGCTTGAAAATGTACAGGCAATGTCTGCGGAGATTTCAGAAATCCTAGAGGTGAATCAACAATAGTGCAAGATGCTGGAGGTATGAGGGTTTCACTGCCCAGCAGGAGGGAAATAACCCTAGAATAAATTATGCAAAATCGGAAAAACAGCATAAGCAATATTCCACAAAATTTATGTCGGTCAGAGATGTCTGATTTCTCCTCATGAATGTAAAATTCTAATTGTGTATTTACACTGGCATATGTGCATAGGCTGGGACTTATAAGATAAGAACACATTTTGTGCAGCTTGGAACTTGAAGTACTTGCTTCCTCATCAGATGACAGGATAACAGAGATCATGTTCATAGGGGTGAGAAATTTTAAGATGTTGGTTGTCTGTTCAGCATCTGCAGACCAATGAGTCTGTTCTCTCACTTGCTGTCATGTGTAAAATGAGTAGGACAGGTGAAAGGTGTCAACTTTTATGGGATTATGCGTGTCTTCCGCTTTTAAGCGCCATAGAGGGACAGGCCAGAGAGTTGTTAAGCCTACATGTCCCATTGCTGTACCAAAGCCTGGCCTTTTCTTTATAGTGGTATTTATGTATATGCAGTCAGTGAAGCTGAACCCTTGAATAAGCACTCTCCTTCATTTCTCCTGGTTCTTGCGCATCTTGACACTTAAATGTAAATTTATAGTATATATAGATAAAGGCATTTGATCTTTCTGAAAGATCAGGTAGTGTTTGTTATGACAGGAATGTAGGATACCTTGATTAACACTCAGGGAAGCCCTGATCTCAAATAAAATATTATTTCCTGGGAACAGAGCAATAAACTGAGAGGAGATAAGCTTTCTTTAAGGAGACAAATAGGCAGGAGGGAGATAAGCATTTCCCCATCTGCCAGAAAGGGGCAAGCTATTTGGATGTCCTGAGTTGGGTCACAGATGTGTGTCTTAATTTGATTGGCGAGAAAGTGCAGCGTGCTACATGTGGGGTCTCAAACTCAATTTCATGGTAGGTCAAAGGGAAAATACCCCAGTGGAGACAGGAAGGGTTAAAAGGTCTGGACACCCTGTAAGAGGTACACAAGCCAAGGACCATGGAACTGGGTGGGCATGAAGTCAGTCTTGACCAGCCTTTATTTGCAAATTGTCAGTGGGCTTGTGTCCATCCATGGATAGGAATGCTAACGTAAAACCAGTGAGTGTACAACTTAGTTTCGTGTTTTTATTTCTTTTCTTAGTTCTGTAACCCCCTGTAGTATTTTGATTCAGTTTCCCAGTGCCCTTGGGCTCTAGTAAACTGATATTATACTTTGTTAAATAAAGACCTTCTCCGTTAAAAAATCTCAGACTGCTCTCAAAGATCTCACCCATGGTGCCTGACTTGTTCATCCACGCATCAACTAGAAACTCCTAACTGGGCTGCAGACAGTTACCTGGCCAAAGGAAGGTGTGTGTGAAGCAGTTTGCATGCCCAAATGCGCACACAGACACATACAGAAGAAGAGATAGAGAGATAGGCTCTATATGCTCTCAAGCTGTGGATAGAGAAAGAAAGGGTAGAGCTTGAGTGGCGGTGGCTACTGGGGGGAAGCAAGCCCTCTCACACATGCAACTGATCCCTGCTGTCTTTCTGATACTCTCAGATGAGAACAGGGTGGAGGGGTGAGAGAGATCGTGTGTAATTACCTTGCTAAGGAGAAATGGAGAGAGAGGTGGGGTATATAATGAAGTTGTCATGGCTCAGGTGGGATGTCACCTGACATTGCCACCACTATGGATTTAGGATCTCTTTAGAAGGCCCAGAGTACCCTCCCAAGACCTTCAGACTTCCCTTTTGGCCGAATAATAGGCATGAGGACCAGGCAGAGTACAACAAGGAATAGGTTTATTTTATAGGAGGTCAAACAACAAGGTGCAGAATAACAGTAAGTAGGTGAAAAGAAATCAAATGCCCTAACTCATCTAAATATATACTGTCCCTAGCTCACTATCTGCAGTGGCCTTAGACTACTCACCCTTCCCTCAGGATGGGTTTCTTCCTGCAGCAGCCTTCCTTCTGGCTCTGCCCTCTAGGAAGAATACCAGCTTTTCCTGCTGCTCCAGATCTTTTCTTCCAAGCCCTCCTCTTTTCCTATTGGTCAATTTTGGCTTCAAAACCTCTCAGGGGCTTCTGGGAGTTGTAGGCCCAGCCTCACCTACTGCTAGCGAGGCTCCCTGGGCCTAGTAGGCCTTTGGTGGCACAGCCCAGATCATGACAGAAGTAAATAATAATGAGCCCCAGTATATTATCACTCTTAAGCACATGCTTACTGCAAAAGCTAGTGACATTCCCCCCTGGAAATAATTATTTTCTGTCTTCTCCTGTGTTTCCCACCTGTTGCTTTAGCACCACCACCTTCAAATCTGGACGCAATACAAAAAACTGAAAAGCTTAGAAGAATTGTAATATAAGCTGCAAATTGGATGGGGTAAAACAGAAGTGAAGGTGGTAGAAATAGAACACTCTGTGGTGACTGAAATGGCTAAAAGGTTAGGAGGTAGATTAATCAGAGTCATCTAGGGAAAACTTTTTTACTGACCATAGTGGGGAACACGATGCTGGTCTGAATTATTGTACTGTTTGCACCCCAGCGCCAAGGGGAGGGGTGAGGTGGGGGGCCAAAGGCAAAGAGGCCCTCCATGCCCCACCACATGTTAACTCCATTTACATTTCAGCTGAAATAATCACCCATACACAAAGTTTTCAGAAAAATATGGAATAAAATTGGCCACACTTTATTGGTTACAGCTGTAGTTTGCTTTGGCACACCGTGAGATACTGGCTCTAGTTCATCGACTGACCCGCCTGCCATTCAATGATTCACTGGTAACCTTGGGATGACAGGTCTATGGATTCCATAAGGGCAGATGTCCAGAGGTAGTCTCCCCTGCCACCTGAGTGTGAGGGTAATCCCCCGCTGATTCCCTGGGCTGGGCATACCACTTGACCCTCACACCAAGATCCCCAAACTCAGGAAAATGGGCACGCAGGACGGCTTTCTTGGTAATGGATCCGGCCCCATGCTGATACTGCCACAAGAGTCATACTGTATCTCCTGGTATACTCTCACAAGCCAGTTATGCTCCTCTGACAGTTTTGTTCTTGTGGTGCTCTCAGGTCAGTCCAAACATCCAGTTCACAGGCTTTTCTGGTGGCAGGGCACTTTCCCTAGCTACAATTAGGCATGCATGCAGGACAGCTCTGTTTCAGAAGGCATTTCCAGGAGGGTGAACGGTATAGCAGATTGAACTGGTTTTTTTTTTTTTTTAAATCTGTGCATCTATTTAAAATTGAGCATGAATGGACTTTTGTGTTTCGTGTTCTTGCAACTTGTAGTTACACTGTTAGCCTTGTTGAGTCAAAGGAATATGGGATATAAATCCTTGAAATGAACAAGACTTCAGTCTGGTCTGACAAGGCTTTTCTGGTCTTCTGTCCTGTTACACTTTGTAAATAAAGCCTGCTTAAAATGTGATGCTGGAAGTGAGAACATATGAAGCTACCTTATACTAAATCAGACCCTTGGTCCATCAAGTTCAGTATTGTCTACTCAGACTGGCAGCAGGTCTCCAGGGTCTCAGGATTGAGACCTTTCACATCACCTATGACCTGATCCTTACTGGAGATGCTGAGGGTTGAACCTGGGACCTTCTGCATGTCAAGCAGATGCTCTACCATTGAGTCATGACCCCTCATATGTTCATGTATTCAGTGTTATACTGGCTACATGAAAGATTGGCATTCTCACATTTAGTTTCTGTGTGGCAAAACAGGCTTATGCTTTATTCGTGGCACGCTGCTGGTTTTGGGGTTGTACCTGCATACCCTGTTGTACAAGTGATGCCACCTGGGTGAACTTCAAACCCAATAGCTTATCTCATATCATGACTATAGCAGTTGTGCTGCATACTAAATTCCTATTTGCTGCTGCTACTGATCAGGTTTTTGGCATTTTCTGAGAACATTAGAATGCATTTCTATGGAAACCTTTTTACTATGTTAAACTGTAATTTTTGCACTTCATAATCTTAATAAATGACATACTTCCTATTTGTAGGAGGAGTGCAATATTTGAGATAGCTAAGTGACATAAGCAGATCTTGCAGTGATAGATCCCATAAAGTTCAGGTTGGGTGGCCTGGTATTGGTCCTAGGAAAAGTACATTAGGACTGC